GTCCTGGTTCCAAATATTCGACATTCCTGGACCTATCGAGCCAGACGATGTGCCTGACATGATCAGTGATAGTTCTTGCGCCCTCGCCGACGGACTAACTCTGACTCAAGATTACACCTGACACCGGGGACATCATAACCATAACGACGAGCCCACGTTGTTGTTTATAGGATTTGGTTATGAATATTCAATTTAGCAGCCATTGCAACTCTGCCAAACAAGGATTACAGTACAGGGGAAGGGAAAACAAGAAATGCTATACAATATTGGTTCTTGTCTATCCCCTTCTGTATAATAGACTGTTCTCGTTGCCAATAACCTTTGCCACCTGTTTACGGAATGGAATACTCCGCTTATCATTAAAAATCATTACCCTTATCATTAATAATATTTAGTTGGCAAACATCGATGTACGTTGTCAATGAACAGTGTACCGGAAGTATATGTATGTTCTACTACCTGTGATATGAAATGATCAATGATAGATAAGACGATACGCACGATTGGCCAACTTATATGCGATGATTTGCACGGCGAAGCGGCCAGGAAAAGTTTTCTAGCCGTGTTTAATCACATACGGTGCCAAGAATCGGTTAATGTTTCCACACGTTTGTGGAATTGTATTTAAGTTGGGTTGGTATTACAAAATGTACATTATATCACTGAGGAATTTACGTGTTGGCACACGTGTTAAGAACCACCGTTTATGGTGGACAACCAAAATAATTCGTTTGATTGTACAACATTCTACCGTACACAGAGCTTGTATATTTCCGAGTTTTATAAAAGTCTCATGTTGCGTTTCGAGTGACTCAGTGTGCAAACTAATACATATTTTTGTTTCAATTTCGGGTTTATGTGAACGCGGTTAAAACTTACTGTTTTTCACAATACTTTCAAGAAATTTCAGAGCCCTCTTTTCTGATTTGTTGTGTAAACGTTCGCTCACGAAAATATTAAGAATGCTGCCTATTAGAACGGCATATTTTTTGTCGTTATGGTTTTCTTCATGTACACAGCATTTCACTTGTGTACATCTAATAAAACGTCTGCAAAGCCGAGGTGAGGGAGAGAATTTACGCCTGGGACAAAGCACTATTACTCCAAATAGCGCCCTCTAGTGACGAATTTATACTGTAGCGTAAATTGGTGCCACAGACGAAATTCACATCGTCGGTATTGGTTGCATCTGTCGTCGTTCAACAATGAGAGCTTTACTATATTTAAATGACGAACTACTTGAATTTCCAGTTACAATGTTGCACAGAATAATCTTTTTCGCTCTTTAGAATATATTTTTTCCTGTTTCTCTCCACGGTGGATGGTCACATCCTCTCAGACTGCCCAAACATAGCGCCAACCCAATGTCCATTTACCTCGGCCATCTGAGAATGTAAGTTTCATACCGAGGTCACTACACCGTGTGATGAGGAACTGCTAGACTTTAAGGTAGAACTTCGAGTTATATGCCACGCTAATTTTCGCGTTATACTTTTTTTTTTGACCTGACAACATAATCACCAACTTTTGAGCCGACCACGCCCACTTCCGCTCATTTATCGCCGCTGTACAACTTCGAGTAACCATCCAAAGTTCGTTAATATCGATTAAGAAGTACCGGTGTCGGATTAAATGATAATAATCATTAATTTGGTGAAAAAAGGTTGTCGAAATCGGCTGGTGAAGCGATTTTGATGACATTGATCACGTGACTAAAACACCTAGAATAATAAGGTTACACCGTGGCGTTAACAAAATTCGGATTGTGTTTTTTTCCAAGTGAATATGGTCGAGTCAAAAAGTATAACTAGAATGTTGGCGTGGCATATAATTCGAAGTCCAAACCAGAATATAACAGCTCCTCAATTCACGGCGTAGTAACCTCGGTGTGAAACTCAAACACTCGCTAAACATATGTTAAACACGTCTGCCATCGACTAGCGTACTGTAGAACAAGGATTCTGAAGGCACTCTAGGAGTTTATTGACCCCGTTATTCAGAATCTGGTTGGCAGAGACTGACTTTAAGCCAGTTTAAGCCAAACTAATTGATAACTACCTCTATAATATGTCTGCCCATGGTAAAGGAAGAAAGGGTCTGGGATAAGGAGGCGCCAAACGTCATCGGTGCGTTCTTCATGATCATATCCGCGGTATCACCAAGCTAGCTATCGAAGTATCCGTCGTCTTGCACGTGGTGGTGGTGTGAAGCGTATCTCTGGTCGCATCTACGAGGACACCCGTGGTGTGTTCAAAATTTTCCTGGAGAATGCAATCCGTGATGCCGTCACCTACACCGAGCACGCCAAGAGAAAGACCGTCACTACACCGCCATGGACGCGTCTTAGCTTTGAAACGCCAGGGTCGTATTCTGTACGGTTTTGGTGGTTAAAACAGACCAAATACGAAATAAAACACAAAAAAACGGCCCTTTTCAGGGCTACCAAATTCTCCAAAAAGAGAACTACCGTGGTATATGTGATAAAACGTTTATGTAATCACTCTCCCCAGTTAGTCCTCTTTAGGTGTACCGTGCGCCGTCTGTTATTGAAACACCGTGTGCCCACCGTAGATTGGTTCCGCGTGTAACTGAAATGAAAGCGTCTTCAACGCTCTCACACAGTCAGGACCTTTCCTCTCGGAGCGTACTACTGCACTATTATGAATGCAAATGGGAATGCCATTCTAAAATCATTTTCAAAAGTTAAGTGAAGTGAAATTACAAATCTATTGTCAAAAATAAAAGTAAATTTTCAAATAAAATTCTATTTTCAAAAGAAAGTTTTCAAATGTAAGGGATTAGTTATTTTCTTTCGCCGGGGTTGGGTGGAGTGTGTGTGCAGGGGAATCTGATATCGCAAACACTAAAGTATGAACCCCCCCCCTCTTAAGCAAAAAACAAAACAGGGTGTCTCCCTTCACATCATCTGAAAATACAGTGACCCCCCCCCAACAACTTTTGATTTATGTTACTTGTAGCTTCGCAGTGAGTCGGACTTAGTCACAGTAACGTTCATCAAATTTGAGAATTAATGTTTTAAGTGTCATTAACAACTGGTGTTAATCTGGGAATACCATCCTTATGAGCTGTTAATGATTTGTGCAGTTGTTCTGGCGAAGTTCCTAAATAAAACCCATGCTCTGATATTTTCAAAGTATTTTTTTTATTGCTCAGTGCATTTAAGTCTATGTGCTGCAAGTTAGAGTGCACATACATAAACGACCATCACTCAGCATATGATTTAGCTCAGACATTTTCTGTGTCAAAATCGCGAACTATCTTTTGTTATGCAATATGGGAAGTCCGAATTACTAAACGAAGTACAGGACAACGAAACTGAAATATCGAAGAACAAACACATATCAAAAATGATATCTTAAAAGTAAATATTTATAGTATAGTGTAACTCGACCGGAAGTGTTGAAGTTGTACAAAATAGCAGTGACGATGCCGTCCATGGCAGTATGTGATGGCAGTGGTGATTATGTGATCCACGTTGGTGTTGTCCATGACAGTGGTGATGATGGCATCCATGAACGAGTTGTTGGTCATGGCAGCAGTGATGCTATTAAATGGAATTTGTGATTTTAAAATGGTGATGGTGATATTGATATTGACATTTAGGAGTTATAAATAGTTCATATACCTGGTTATGTTATATCCTGTTATTTTGATATTTTGTATTAATGATAAATTTTATTTCAAATATATCATACTTATTTGTTGCTACCTTCTTCGGTATTATACATTATGATGAGTTGAGTTATTAAAAGAAGAAAACTATTTGAGTTTATTAACAATTAAAAAATACAATAAACTTTATATTATAAAAATAAAAGTTTGAATTTTGAAAGTGTTAAAAGAGAGTTCATGAACTTGAATATTTTTGCGAAATAAAAAATGTACAATAATCATTAATGTAAATATTGTGTCTGTTTAAACTATGTTTTTTTTCTGTGAATAACAAAATTGATTGCTCCCTCTCAGGCAATGGAAAAAAAGGCATGTCCCCCTTTATTCAATTTCAAAATAGCTGGGCCTACTGTTTTTCCCGGCACCCCAAGCCAGAGAAAATGACCAGTCCCGAAATCCTTTTTCAAAAGTAAAGCGACATTTCAAATGTATAAATTTCATTTAAATTGTCGGTTTTTATTGTCACTTATGCTTTTTTAAATATCAATTTATTTGTGAAATAGACAATTGTTATGATATGGTCTTGACCCTCAGTTGCTGTATACGTACGTTAATGCATACAAATGTCACAATTAACAAACTTCATTAATAAAAAAAAAAAAACATTTGAAGATGATTATCACAATGACTATGATTATGCACTGTGAGAATTACGCTAGATTTAATTTCAGGATTTCACGAAAGTATCTATATTCATATCTCTGTTTATGAATCCTAAAGTTGACGGTACGCCATGAAATTGCCTCGCATAATTTTGTGTTTGTTTTTAATTTTCTGACGTTTGGAGTGATCGTACTAAATTTGTTTCTGGAATATTAGAAATTCACTTGGCCTTCATTAGCCACGGATCCAGATTATGGCTTAATACTCAAAATTGTACCCGGTTGTATGATAATACAAACATGTACTACACATTCCATACAAATAATAACAATATAAATGACATGGACATACGACGTATGATTTTGTCAATGACACGATAGCCAATAAATCAATGGCGGCGGCACATGAGGGCCCCCTAGAAATTCAAGCTGAACCCATTTGGGTCAGCAAAATTTGCCCTCAAAATGCAGGTAATAGCGTTTCAGAGGGTCTAGAATTAATTTTTTTAAGAAGGTGTAAGCCCATGGATCCCCCTAGTGAGCTTGCGCCTTCGGCGCGAAGGGGTGATGAGCAGAACTCGCCCCTCCATGCAACATTTCGTGCCGCGGCCTCTGCATTAAATTTACTCAAGTTCAAGTGCAATGTAATTGGATGGTCTGTGATTATGTAAACAATTATACTTCGTACTATTATAAAAAAAAATCAAAAGTATATGACGTTTTTGTGAGTAGTCAAGCCAGCCTTGTGATGTGAAAATACCGCTTGTTTTAGGTTTTTACGGCTGAAATTGACTACTCAGATTTCACCTCCACTGTCAGTTGGTTACCGCGCCAATGATTGGCTGAGAAATATAGCATAATGATAATCAAGGTGACATCTTTAGTTATCTAAAAATCAGGTCAGTTGGTTGGAATCCCCTTGAAGAAATGAACTATAATCAGCCGTTCCAGATATAAAGTAAAACACAGAATGGTCGTTAAGGTAGAAGCCTAGTCATAATTTTTGACAATAATGGTCATAAATCGCATGACAATGTTAATTAGTTTATTATGTACAATCATGAAGCTAATGTCCCAGGGTACAATGAAATAACATTATTTTGTGTGTTACAGTTAAGCTTTTTGAGAAACGTGTCCTAATATTTTTTTGAAAATTTCTATTTTTAGAACAATTCCATAGAAAACAATGCTAAAGAAAAGTTGCATTTTTTGACACTTTTTAAAACCCAGATTTTATAAATAATTCAGAACAACAAAAAGTACTCCATCATTACCAATATATGATTTTTTCAGCCTATGTCACCAGGCTGGATTTTGAGATATTGCATATCGCTGCCATATGAACCTGTGGTAAAAGTGTTATAATAGTGTCAAAATGGCGACACTCCACTAAAATACAACTATCAATTTCTCAAAAAAAAGGCTGTTTACCCCCAACTTTTTCCTTTTGTACATTTTATTGCAAAATGAATAAATTCTGGGTTTTTAAATTTATGAGTAGGGGTGTGTCTTAGAATACCAGTTGCTATTTTTAGTCAAATGACATGCACCCTCATCTATGTATTCAAAAATACCACTGGAGCCACCGTTTTTCACTTCCCTCCTAGCAGAAGAAAATGACCAGTTCCTAACCCAGCTACAAAAATAAATATTAAACGACAATATTTTCAACGAGTGACTAAATATGTAAGAAGCAATGTGTATATTTTTTGAACACGTTTAAATAATCTCGTTCAACATCTTGATCAGTATTAAGAAAAGCGTTTATCGAAAAATACAAATAAAGCGTTACTGAAAGCAGCAGTGTTCGTTAAATTAAATACAGAAATCGCGAGTTCAATCAACCTGATTAAAATGTGACCGTACGTATTAAAATAGGCTCCGTGGCCTGTACATGTCTGATACGGTGCCCATGTAGATGTACACAACGCGTGTAGGTTCACTGTTTACATTAAATTCGGACACGCGCTGTGCGA